GCCATTATTTCCATGTTAATAGCCCTGAGTGGAGAAGCACTTTGCAAAGTCTGTTTCAATATGAGTGTAATACAGATATGATGATATAATGGTGGGTCAAGCCACCTAGTGTCTGCTGTTCGGTCAGTTGAGAGCAGCATTCAAAACCAGATTAGAAGAACATAAGGTTAGAGAACGGAGTCACCTGTTAGAGGCCTCTGTAGATTTATGATCCCTCTATGTGGCCTAATGAACACTGACTGGACATCCACAGGAATGCTGACCCAACCTTTCTGTTGTGTGGTAAAAAGGTTACCATGGTGACAGTACTGAGTCTTTTTGCTATCGTAATGGTGAAACTGACCTAAAATTTGTAAATAAACCAAATCATCACCACATTATCTAAATGTAGTAGTTTTTTGTTTCTTTACCAAGAGGCCATGATATAAGCACATATATATTCTACAAGGTGTCTTAATGTAGTGTGTCATTTATTGCCTTTGCATTTTCAACACTCCTGAACATGCTTGTCCTGATTATCCTGATTGTCCTGTCTGCAAAGGTATAGGTAGGATTTTAACACTATGTTCTCTTATAATGTTCCCATTGGAATTAATTAAATACTGCAACTGTGTACCTCTGTATCACAAAGGTTTTGAAGGTTATTTGATCTTTTTTTTAATCAGGGATAACATTTTTATGTGTTTGCTGCACCAGTGTGGGAGAGAAATCATGCAATCGTTCACAGCTCAGATGAAATTGCCACTGCAATTAGACAACAGCAAAACATCTGATATGGAGACTCTGGGATAAAATCTTATCCAACAGGAGTTTGTCTCACTCGGTTAAACAGTCACTAGTAAGAAATTAAAGGATTGCGCCCTCATCTTTGAATATTTCTGCAACCAGAGAATGATGATGGCAGAGAAACGCTGTGATAACATATAAAAATGTGCTGTGCAGATGAAACAGATTGATTTAGAGCAGGTAGAGTGAGCTAAAGTGATTCTACATGAATCACTGGGGTAAGGGAGACGTGAGATACTTCTCAGAAAAAAAGGATTAGAGATGAAAATGGAATGAGTGACTGCATTGTCCTGTCCCTCCACCAATGTGAAGAGTCAAGACCACATGGAAATATGATGACAGCTGTCAGGGAGGAGAGAACCGAGTGGCCTATTGTTGGATATTGTACTCGACGTTTTGACTGTCCTCTTGTAGTTATGCTTTTATGCTCAGTTCTGGGAAGAAGAAATTATTACATTACTTGGAAAGGTTAGAAAACAAGGACTTTAATTGATAAAAACATCTGAGCATGTTCTCAGAACTCACTGACACTGGTTACTAGCTGTGATGCAATGAGGGATTTGGATGATCTTTTATCCACAATGTCTGGTAATGGGAGATTGAGCCGTAATGTTTCCTGTAAACTGGAAAAACCCAGAGAAAAAAAAATATTATTTCATGATTGTTCCTGTCTTTCTTATTTTTCTCTGCGTCTCCAGCTGCCTACTGTAGCATTAATGATCCCCCAGTGAATGGGGGTGTGGTCAACCGAACCAAACTCCAACCAGGCAGCAGACTGCAGTTCTTCTGTAACCGTGGTTCTCGTCTGGTGGGCTCAACCAATGCTACCTGCCGGCTCCATTCCAATGGGCTTTTCCAGTGGGATACACCACCACCTTTTTGTCAAGGTAAAGTTTTTAAAAACATTCATCATCATCTACAGTGAACTGGGGGTCTCAGACCTTTGGCGTGTGAGTGATGATCAAAAATGCTAACCTGGGTTAAAAACTTACTGTCTCCCTCCATGACACATATGTCTTTGTGATGCTGCAGCTATCTCCTGTGGAATCCCTCAATCGCCAGGCAACGGCAGCTTCCATGCTTACCAGTACACTGTTGGTAGCCAAGTTACCTACCATTGTAACCATGGTTTCCACCTTGACCCCGGTGTTTCGATGACAGCGATGTGTTTGGAGGATGGCACCTGGAGTAATGCTGACTCAGCCCCCAGATGTCTACGTGAGTTTTTTTTTAAAACTGGGATTTAGGTATGAGTATGAGTTGACATGAAAACAAAACAAACTAAATTATTAAGATCCATTTAGTAGCTATTACCAGAACTCTTTATCTATATCTCACAGTCTCAGTTTTTGTGGTTGCCATGTATTTTTGATGATTAGTGATCAAATTTGAGATTTGTTAAAGCCCAGAAACAGCTGTATTTCATTGACAAACTACTCCCA